AAAAACACCACCACCCTTTCTCTTCCTCTTCACTTCTCCAATATCTCTATCTACATCTATGTAACTATACAGATAGGTAAATATATTACGTATGATTTTATCTTTTGTGAGCAGCCCATAAAAATTTTTAGAGTATTGAATTGTTTTTTTTTTTTACACATATTTTTGTAGACCACCCTTTATTTTACCTTTCCCTCCACAAAGCCTTCCCATTGCTTTGCCTTTTAGCTGTGGCGAGGTGTTTAGATCGCTGTCCCGAGTTTCATCTTTTGACGAAGGCGTAACAGACCAGAATGAACAGCTTTGATCTGACGCCGCAGCGGCACTTCCCGCCCCCCGGCCTTCGTCAGCTCGGCGTCTCCACCGATGACTCGGCCATCTTCATCGAGGACACGATCGACCGCACCATGGCCCGTTGCATATCGGCCTCCCCCTCCGCCGTGTCCTTTCTCTCGCCGCAGCAGATTCCCCCCACTGGCTACGTCGATGTCGCCGCGTACGACCCCGCTTACCTCCGGACACCGACAGGGACGGGGGCGAGGGCGGGGGCGGGGGCGGACCCCTGCGCCGTGCGGCTCCGCTTCGTAAGCTCGCCGACGCCGTTGGACAGGGTCTTGGACGGGTTGCCCGACGCCTCACAGCCGCGTGGGGGCAGCCCTAGTGCGAGGATGCCGGAACCAATGGTGCCCATGCGCGAGTTGGAGCGCGTGGAAAAGGAGCGCAACCGCTATGAAAAGATGTACGAGCATCAAAAGATGCTATACGAGGAGATGACAAACAAACAGACCGAGACATACCGTGCGCTGCAGGAGAAAATAATCGACGTCATCGCACTTTCTTCTCGTAACGAGGAGAGCAAACGGTACATTCGACAACTAAAGAAAGAGATGTCGGAAAGCCGCACACGCGTAATCGACATACAAAACAAAGCTTTAGAGGAAGCACGTGCTGAACGCGATGCCAAGAGCCGCTATGAGGCCATGATAGAGGACCAGACACGTCATTATGAGCATATGGCGGAACGCAACGAAGATGCGGTAATTGGAATGGAGAGCTTCTTGCAGGATTTGACCTACATGAAACTTGAGGAGGACAAGCTGCATGTGTCACAGCTTGATTCTCTATTAAAAGCAGCTTACACCAAAAACACTGCCTTGTTACGCGATTTATTGCGGCAAGACTGCCAAATCAACCTTTTGTTTAATAGTAAAGACTGCTTGGAGCGACATGTGGACCAGATCCGTCGGGAGAAGAAGGAACTCGAAAAAGCGCTGGCTGATGAACGGCGTCATATGATGTACGAAACAGAGCGATTTGTTGAGCAAATAGAGAACCAGCAGCAGTCAATCCTGAACTTGCGCCAGATGCTAATCCGCACGATGGACACCACTTCCATGCAGGGGACGCCTGACTATGCCAGCCACACCCTGCAGCCTGGCCCGTATGTTAACACTACTACACCAAAATCATATGTTCCCCCTTTCGAGACCCAAACGGCTGTCCCTCGAACCGGTTACAAGGCGGTGGATCTTTTTAGTAACTCGGTAAGGATACCGAATTCCGTTGGACAGCCGTCCAAAGCACATACCACCGAAGGTTATGAAAAAACTATTCACAACACCCTCAGCACGAACAGCCAGAGGGTAGAGGATTTATTTTGTTCACCTTCAGTTGATTTGTCAGTGATACGTCTGGAGCGATCTGATAAAAAACTAACTGAAACAACTTCGGCCCTGTACCTACCGGACGTAATTAGTTTTAAGGATGATATTGGCTCTGCCGCAACAGTCATATCGTCCAGTGGTCTAAACCCGTATTACATTCCAAATTCTTCAGAAGCGTTGACGACATTGAAGTCTGCTCAAGAAACATCCGAGACAGTGAAAAACAAGCAACGATCACAACACATGCATTCACAAACATATGATGCCTTTTATTTAACCAACGAAACACAAAAGTGTAATCAAAGAATACGCTCAGGGACGGAGGGACATGAAAAAGAGAACAATAGCCCTTCACACATCCTCAAATACCAAACCTTTTTGAAGAAAGATAATGCCAGGGCTAAACCCGATGCTAGGGGTGGTTGCCCTCGGCTTGCACCGCGATCAACAATGCGGATTTTAATGCAACGCCACAATAGGGATGGTGAAAGCGACACCGTGTGTGGGGTCAAAGTGAATGATATTTCCTCCAAATGACGCTTTGTATTTCGGGAAAGGCAGCCCAAAAAGATTATTTATTCTATATCGTGGATTTTTTTATTCATCTATTCTCTCTCCTTCATAATTTGTTGGTTTTTTTTTATATATTGTTATTACTTTTTGTATTTTGGAAGGCATTTCCTACATGATTTAATGGAGTTTTAGACCTTCTTTTCGATTTGGCATGGTCGAGTTAGATGAACTGAAAATGTGGCAACATATTTGTGTTGCAAATATAGTGTTATTCCACTATAAGTACATCCCCTTTTGTCACACGTCACACACATACAAATATACGCATATGTTCTTATTTCAGAATAAGCGCTAAATTCATTGCCAAATGTAGGCAGTATATCCCACAGATAAGTCATTGAAATTTGTTTACTTCAGAGTTCGAGCTATGAGGCTTGTGATTATGCTTTTTATTTCAATCATCTTTTAGTACTTTGTATTGATGATTACAAGGATCTGAGCCAATTATTATCGTCACAAAGAAGAGTCATCCTCTGTAGGCATCATCATGATACACACCACTCCAATAAAAATTGAACCTTGTTCCTCATTTCTTTCTCATAACCATAACTTAAAACCTAGCTTGTAAAAGCAAAGGGTTGTCGATATTTGGTTTCCTCCCTCTCTACTTCTTCTTTGCACTATAGGTTGAACCTTGGCACTACGATAAGGTGGACTAAATCATTAGATATATTGATTAAAACAACCTATGTGGAGAATTGGTGCTCATACAAAAAAAAGGCAGTGACTAGTAAAGCCGAATACAATAAATTTATTTTGTCGCCTGTTGTGAATATTTATGAAATAAAGTGCTCCATTATTACAAAAACAAATGAAATATATATGTACAAGTCAGGGTTTTTATCATTGAAAAAAGGAAATGGTGTGGAAAAGAGCATGCTACAGCTAAGCCGATAACTGTTTCTTTTTACCCATTTTATTGTATCAAGTCTATACTATTTTCATCATTAACTGTTGTGAAAGCCCACCATGGTAGACCGAGGTGTACTTTGAATCAAAGTAAAAAAACTTCTTTGGGACAATGTATACTTTGTTCCTGGTATGCAGGTTGGATAAGGTGCATTTTTTCTTCACGAAAGTTATAAATGATCAAAACAATATATATATGATTTTCATAATAATTTGAGGGACATTATTTGACATGCGGGATTCACGTCGGTCAAATCGTTATGAAAGCGTTTTCAAACACAATAAGGAATTTCTGTCGCATAACGCTAAAATAAGTGAATGTCATAAAATAGACACTCCTTATGCAAGTGAATCCATGGTATTACTGCCGTGATAGCTAGATGAACCTTATAAATTGTGATTGCGCTCATGAAACGGTAGAGTGATTTGTTCCCCCTTCTTTCTAGTCGTTGAGAACTTCGAAACACTATAATCGACCTCGAAATTGATGTCCGGGTTGGCTTTCTGTGTCAAAAACCGAATGCTTTGCTTGTTGTACAACGCTAAGCGTTCATGGGTCAAACGCATTGCCTGTTTGATTTTTTTACTGAGCTTATTCCTTCTCTCCAACTATATTTTTTACTTTTCATCTTCTTTTAAACGTAGCAAAAGGTTTCATATTCGTAACCGGCGCAATGATGGGAGAGTGGGACATGTTATTCCACCAGCTGTACAAGCTGGAATGTGTGGTTCGTCTCGAAGAAGAGCGACGTGAGGCGAAAATGCGCTTGCGGCTCCTCAATATGATGTCACAAGAGGTGGACAAGCAGATTACATTTGTTGCCCAGTTCAAGAAACAATGGTTGCAGAACCGGCTCACGCAGGAGCAGCAACGCCAGGAGCTTATGGATGGTGAAAGTAAATGGCGCCTTTACATAGAGGAAGAGTATAGTAGAGAGCTTAGGGATCTTGTTTGAGCGTAGCCAGGGTGGTTTGAAGGTGATAAATCCTTACCCAATTAATACTTACAAAAGGAAAGTGCTTATTTTGTTTTTTATTTTTATGTAAAAGCAAAGATTTATTGGCTTCATAAATAGGCCCCTCCTATCACAGTTGCACACTAGCTTGTTGTTTACACTTCCACATATCTACATATATTAATAGTAGTCTGTATCGGTGTAACACTAATTTATTTTAAATAGGGGGACTATTTGCACCCCATTCCTATTCTTTCTTGTTATGCCACCTCACTTTACAAGAAGTCCACTCAATATTTCTTCACTTCCGCAGCGTGACCCTGTTAACTCTTTTCGTGTGCGTAAGAATGACGAAAAAAGACGTTTCACAAATACGGTCTAACATCCTGCAATACTTTGCACATCATGTAATCTTTTCCCTCTACACAATCTATTTTATTACCCCCAACAGGTAAGAAATTCCTTTACACACAAAAAAACTCTAGTCGATATGAAATACAATTCGCCTTAATGTTTCTGGCACTTTAGCCACTAAGATCCCAAACGATCGTTTTCTTGATGTTTTCTTAACAAGACCAGCGGGTAAGCTTGCTTCACCTGCAAGCCACACGTTATGCAAAAGTTTTATGGTAAGTTAAACGATTTTATGCTCTAGTGTATTGATCAATATTACTATCCACACTAAACATGGCCATAAGGATTTGCAATTCGGATCGTGGTTGCACGGGCGCCAAAAGTGTTCTTGCCTTCATTCCCTCACCAATATTGATCCCACGAGAGAAATGGAAGAGAGCTAAGGTTCAAAGGGAAGTTCACGTGAACTGCAGGAGATGTTTTAGAGGAAAAGTATAACTGCTCTTCCATTAACAAATATGTCATCTATATTTTACAACACAGAATGAAACAAATATTTTCCTTTTATTTGACTATGTCTACTTTATTATTCTTCTTCTCGTACACACGTTGTCGGGGAATAGAAAAAATAATGCATATAATAAAAAACAATTTACTTCAAAAGGGTGTTGTAGTCTAACTGGTCCATAAGAATCTACATGAGAACTAAAATGAGCTCTGCACGCTCCATACTGCACTTTGAGAACATTTTGAATGTTATATATTGATATTTTCCTCCCATCTAGTCTTTTTTCCTTCTTATTCTTTCTTAAAGCAAGTTAGGTGTCAAATCACGTGGGTACTCTTGGCAATAGGAGCATCATCCCTATTTTTTTCCCTTTAACTCACCTCCATAAATAATCGACCCTAAGGGCTAATCACTGGCCTATAATTACTGCATCAAAGGTCCCATCTAATTTCCCTTGAGGGTATTTTTCCAAATTTCATCTCCTTGGCTCCACGTATACGTACAAATACCTAAAACTCTATACCATGTCAAATCGACAGATACGCCGACTGCATCACTTGATAAGGTCCTCCACAGGGATTGATGAGGAAGAGCCAGAGGATATCGGAATTGTCACAATGAAGCCTAATGCATCTTCGAAAGGTAGGCGTAAGAAGAACGATCTGAATACTGAGAAAAGAAATAATAAGAGTGAAACTTCCGGAGGGGATAAAGCAGACACAGTCAGTAATGTTACGCGAACTCCGAACGCTGCTGCGACTTGCCAGAATCTAAGAGAAAATCTTTGCATCCCCACCACATGCCCCTCAGAGGTCCCCAAAACTGGCGGTCACGATAACGAAACGCACGTAATCTCAGCTAGTGTTGTGGATGCATCACCAACTGGTAGCGCCAGCCCAATCTCGCGTGGTGGAACTGAATACCCTGCAGTTTGTGAAACTCATTTGCACAACCACCGCAACGCTAAAAAACAATCAAAAGGCTCAAAAAAATCTAAAAGAGAAACTGAAGAAGAAAAGCTGCTGGAAGCCGTCCTACGGGAACGCGACAGAGCTCAGGGGGATTCTGGCGATAGGACCAATGTGGAGCTGCGCCAGTCGGAGCCCTTTCTAGGGGTTCTGATGCTAATATGTGAGCCCGAGCACCTGGACATGCGTCTTGAGCACATCCGAAACTTTGGCTTGGAGGCGGTCGAGGATGTTGGGGACAATACGACGCCATTTCGGCCGCACCGGCGGCTGCGCGACAGCGGCCCCAACTCGCTCTTACCCGAACATCACCTCAACTTGAGCTTCCGTCATAGCGCCTTCGCGACGCCTCGGAAGCACCGATGGCCTCCCTTCGATTCTTTAGGCATTCGAATGGTGGTCGCCAGCACCAATCCTAAGGATGCGCGCGGCCGGAGGGGCACCCCAACGAATCCTAACAACCCCAACAGTGCCGCACCGCTTGTCTACCGGCTAGATTGTGATTCTACGCAATTTAAACAGGCTGAGGGTGCGCGATTGGCGTGTGAAGCGCGGATTGGTAATCTACAGGATCTCATAAATTGTCTGCATCGAGGTCCCTACCACATTCCCACACTCCTACAGCTCTACGCGACGTTTCGTGCATTGGGTAATACTGTGCGAGCGAGTGAGATGGTGGATCTAGCGCTCTATCATGTCGGTGTGCTTTTTTCACGCTTTCCAATAGCTGAAACCTGGTGTAAGCGCTTGGTGCCGTATGACTATCCAAAGAACCAGATCCTTTTCCAGGCCCTTCAATGTGGAGTGCACGTGGCCTTACAGCGTGGATGCGCCCGCACCGCGTGGGAGATATCTCGCTTTGTGCTTTCTCTCGACCCTCGTGACCCGTGCGGGATGATGCTGCTGATGGATTACTTGGCCTTGAGGGCGAAGCGTTGGGTGTGGCTGGTAGAGGCTCACCAAACCTCCCTCAGACTGCTTGACAAATTAGTTCAAGCACCCAACGACACGGCTGAGAAAAATGAATCGCAAGAAGGGGCTATTAAAGGGAGGGAAGGACCGCAAGACCCCTCTCTGACGCCCTATAGGAACGACCAGATTGATCTTTATCTCGCCCGCAGGGTCTCCGTACTTCCAAGCTTCGCCTTCAGTGCGGTGCTTGCGAAGTACTTTCTGGAGAGGGATATGGAGCAGTATCAGAATGCGCAGCCCACGCAAGGCACTGCCCCAACAGCGACGCACGTCGCCATGCGCGCTCGGGGTCGGCCGAAAAAGAAGCCCCAGTCAAAGATTCTGCGTAATATCACCCCTGCGCAGCATGCGATGCTGGAGGCCGCCGCCCCTTCAACTGCAATGCTCGCACAGGCGATCGTGCGCTTCCCGGGCGCGGCCGCGAAGCTGGTTGAACGGCTCCAGGGGGTGGACGCAATTTGTAAGGGCGCTACAGTGGATCCGGTCTGGCAGGATGTGATCCTCGGCCTGGCGGCGAGCGAAGAGAAACAATCAATGGACCAAGAGGATGGAATGCCGCATCTTAGCAGCCATCTGAATCAGTTTTTTGTGGCCCGCCACGCCGACCTCTGGAAGTCTGCGGAACCCATGAAGCTTATGCGCTCCGTACTAAGCTCGGCCGAGCATAAAGATGATCACGGATGTCCTAGCAGCGAGGTCGAAGGAGCGCAGACGCCGCCGACGCCTCTCGTCATGGCGCTTGCAGAACGTAATCTTTCGCAGTACCGATATTTGAAGGACAAGGATATAACCGAAATGTACCTCGCACTACGCGAAGAGGATATCATGGGCATGGACAGTAATGCTGCGATCCCTCAAGAACTTCTCGACTTAGGTGCACAGGATTTCGACGACGCTGATATAATAGAACAGCTGATGGAGCAAGAAAATGATGGGGGGATACAGGAACATTTTCATCACGAAGATGGAAGACACTCTAGAGGGGAAAATCTTTCTCCACAGCGAGATAATATCCTTCAGTTCTTTATGAACACCTTATTTCCGTGGAACAACCTGAATGATGCGGCTCATCAACAGGAATCGCGGCATGCTGGGGGAGCGAGTTCACTCATCACAGGTTCTGATGGGGAGGATGATTGGGAGGATCTGGAGGCGTCCAGTGATACGAGCCAGTGAGGCTAATATAACAAAAAATACTGCTAATGAGAAGCGATCCTTATGGTTCCTTGTCATTTTAAATTAAGTTTTATCCACTGAATGTTTCATAGTGTGGTAACAACGTAAATAATACTCCTCCATATACCATGAACGATTGTGCACTCCTTGTGAAGAACTTTAATTTGCTAAGTGTTTTTTGCCATTCTTATTCGAAACTGAGAATTGTTGCAGGTAGCATCGTAGAAATATAGTGGATAGTGAGCCATGCTCAAACTGCTTGGTCTTCTACTATTGTTAGTGTTTCCCTTATTACCTATTTGTTTCATATTTACGTGGTATACTGAGATATACGTGTATTGGTAAAGGAATGACATCACCATAATATTACGAACTGTATGATGTAGTCTCAATTCAAACTAATCATCTCAATATGTCCCTCTTTTTATTTACATATTCTGAGGACTTTCAAGATTTTTGTATGTGTATGTTACAAAGGTATTCTACCACTCCGAGTAAGTAGCTTTTCATATCGATTTCCCTCAAGGGGGAAAACACTTGACAAGTATACACAATGGGTATATTCAAGTGGTATAAGCATAGTGATACCTCTCAGTTATTGAGTCAGAAGGAAACCCCTCAATCCCATTCTCTTTCAGCGGCGAAAGAAACTGATGCATCTCTCCTTTCGCTTTCCGAGCGACTTCAACGTGTTAGTCTTGAGAATATCAAACACGTTACGGCCAACGACGTGAAACGCATAAAAGAAACGCTAACCACAGCAGACTTAGAAAGTGCGATACGCCATATGCTGGAGGATAACCGTTTTGTGGATGTGATTACTTACAGCAGCTCTGCCGCGTGGAAGGAGGCTGCCCGTGATATAAAGCCTGTACAAAAACAACTTATCTTTGGCTTAATAAAGGAGCGCATGGGCTACTTATACAATATTTTGCCTTTTGTGACGGAAAACTTCTTACAACAAATGACTACACTTTTTGGGGATAAAACCAACTATGAGAAGGCGAAAAATCGGTAGTATCAAAAAAAATGTCTGTTTACCAATATTCCTTCTTTTTGACGTTTAGTCTTCTAGATGTAGTGTGAGTTGTGTGTAGTGGTTGATTCATTTATTATGACTTGGGGTTCACGACACGTAGGTTAGAATGTAGCCGCTGGCTTGTTTACTACTCGTTACTCTGTTTTTCTCTTTACTAATTTTCAACATCTCTACATCAAAGTATTTTGTCCAAAAAGACCGTCTTTAGGCTCTTAGTGTGTGTGTGTGCTGAGTTGTTCCCCTTATTTGTGAGCAGGTTGGGTACTATCCAAGGTAGAGAAACCACTGAAGGAGTAATAATGTACGACGACAACGACGCTCCTCCACCAGCACGCAGCGCACACAGCAAACCCAGCCGGCGAAATTCCTCCACGCAGTTGGGAAGCCATGCCCTACCTACGCCTCAACGGCACCGACCTATTGATCCTCGTTTTGATCCGATGTTTGGTAACGCCGATCTTTCACAGTTTAAGAACAATTACAAATTTCTCCAAGAACAGATAGAAGAGGAAGAAACCCGACGGCAGCATCGTATTCGCTGTCTTAAGTGTATTCTTCGGCGTTTTACCTTGGAGGATGCAGGAGAAGATCTAGCTGAGTACGATTTATCCGAAGATGAGCGTATGATCTTTGGTGAGGATCAGCTGCAAGAGCTAAACCATCTCAAATTAACACCGTCAGAGCGCATTCATGCCGAGCTTGATAAGCTGAAGCGAGAATCACAGCTATACAAATCCAAGACAAAGGGTAATGCAGCTGTATCACGGAAGGCGCAAATTAAAAAAGGATTAATGCGTAAGGAAGTGCAGGCAGTGAAGATGGGCACGAAATTAAAGCCTTACTTCCCAAAACGCAGTGTTGTTAAGAAAGCTATCCACGCAGACACCTTTGAGAGCTTAGAACAAAAGGGTGGTAAGCACGCAGTGGAGCGGTATTTAGCACGCAAGAGCAAGAAACAGCATTAGTATGTATCAGCAGACAGTGTGTTATTCTGAAGGGATCGTCCTTACTTTTGTACGTACAGTTCGCAAAATGCCTTGGATGATGCCGCTTGACAGTATCAGATTTTCCTTCTTTTTATTATGGATAATTATAGCAGGAATCCACGAGGTTTTTTTTTTCGATGTGCCAACAGGGTGTAGAAAAAAATGATAGACTAGAATCATTGCTAGCATTTGGTGCCTTATTTTGAAATTATAGGTTGCGATTTCTGGGTGTAAGGACAACTAAAAGGAATACAGAGTCAAATTGGGAAAGGGCATCTAACGATGCGGCATGACTTGCCTTGCCCCAATTATTTTCCGTATAAACATTGTGCCTTTCAGATCAATAGTGTTTTTCTCATTCTAGGTTTGCTTTATTTTCTTGTATCATTTGGATCGATTAGCATATGTTTGTTCCGGTTCTATATTGACAAGCCGGCATGGCTATCTCAAGCATCCATTTCACAGTATATATGATCAAGTTTATACTTTGGGTCCGGCCTATTTATTTACCAACAGAAAATTGAGTTACTTTATAAAGCCGATGACTTACCCCGACCATAGGGAAGAAGGGATGTATTATTGAAGGAGATACTCACCTGTGTGTATATCTCAAAACTTTAAATGCTATTAAATATGTTTTGGCAGAGAGAAAAATGCTCAGAGTTCGAGCATCGGTGAATGATTATACACCCGATTGTATCAACTGATGTACTGGTATCGTGAATAGGGCTGACAGCAATTTCAGAGACCCAGGTGCGCACCAAACAGGTCAAGGACAGGGTGCACGTCATCAGAGAGTTTTCTCAACTTATTACAGAGAGGGCCGTCGCATTCCTTTGCGTTGGTTTCGACACGTTGTTGTTGGGGTTGTGGCGACTTTGATGCTAAATCTCGTCGTATTAATCAATGCCTGGTGATTTTATACAGTAGATTGGGTGATCAATTCTTCCTCAACTCATATGTTGGGTTGCTTTCTCAACTATGTCTCGTTCGTATTTTGGTGGTGCTTGCGGCTTTCACAGCAAAAGTGGTCGTTTATTTCGAAGCCGGCAACATCAGCGCGGTTTTCGGGGCTCCCATAGATGGCTTACTTTTTGTAATGGATGAAATGTGTGGCTTTTAGGATCACACCGCCACCGGAAGAATCTTACCACGATGCGCTATTTTACAGTGAGCAGCAGCATTAGCTCTCTTATGGATAATCAAAGGCCGCTGGGGTGGACTTCCAACACCCTGCTATTGCTCTTTGAGGTGAATTTGACGATTCCTATAAAGTTTATCTCGATCTGCATCACCGTAATCAAGCTCTCCTTAGAGCTTCACCTATTGGCGGGAATGGTGGTCATTCTCATGTAAAAATCCGTTGTTGACCAACTTAGTAAGGCACTCAACCACGACATTTTACATCTTTGTTGTGTACCCTATCCAAGTCTGAATCTTTCTCACCTCGAGTTCGAACAGCTTGTGGTTGTTAACGTCATGAAGACCCATATGGTGATTCTTAGACGATCTGAGGTGGGCAGACTGACAGAACCACAAGACTTCTCTCTTTGGGAACGTCACCAACCACAATAACTGTGATAGGCTCCATATTCCTCTCCGTTATGATGACCGCACGTTCAGAGTTCGGGGGAACACCACCTCGAGGATACGGGGTATCGCCCACGTCAAGGCGCGACCGGTGGTAGACCCTCAGCCTGCGTAGCTTCGGAAGGTTGTGGACCTTCCCCGAATCCTCAACCGAAGCCTATGGGTGATCCCGCCGTTTTTTTATCTACCTATGGGTTATGAAATATTCCGCAGTATGGGTTTTCTGTATGGTCATGCACAAAGATCTCTTGGTAGATGCTTTGCTCAGACGGCTGAAAGCGATGGATTTACACTTGACAACAGGGAAAAAGGAAATCACTACCACGCGGTACAATGATGCGTTCTCAACATAATATACAGGATATAACGTGTCGGATATCGACAGCATAGAATACACTCCTCTTTTATGAGAAATCAGATAAATTAACGCACTGTCAGCGGTGCCAGAATAATTGGACGAAAAATTTCAGTGATCGTGTGAAAGATCGCTGACTCTGTAGAACTGTCTTACCGCGTCGTCATATCGTACCGTTGTGCGGTTGACATTTGAGATGTTGAGGCTGGGTCGGTATCAAATTCAACTTGAGGGAGACCACTGTATTGGTGATACCTAAGGCAAGGTCATAAATATTTAGTGTATTACGTGTTATGTCAATGCCTACTTACCAAAGAAATGAAGTTTTATAGTGTAAAGTGACCTTAATTTACATTTCAAATCTGTATGACATATTAACATAGTTATATCAACATGTTATACTCAATAATGATAATATAATCGTTTTATCGCAAAAAAAAATTTTCTCTTCTTTATGTGACTAAGAACTAACATTAACACCTTTTCTTAAAAACGACGGCATTACTGCTCACAAAAAGTCCTTTTTTTTTTAGATATACTGAGAGAAACACGGAGAGTACGACTGAAGAAACTCTGGACGCTGAAGAAGGATCAAATAATTATAACAGAATATAAAATAATAGATTATTAATTACTTAGTGTCTGACACTAAAACTTAGGAGCTGACAAGGCGAAGGGTTCAGACACGAATTGGGATTAATAATTAAAAACTCTACGGCTGTACGCCACACAGTTAACATAGAATACCTCTGTATCTAATTACCCTTTTCCTGGAGCTATGACTGACCCCTCATCCATCATGCTTAACTCTGAGCTGGACAAAAAGCTAAGAAATCTACTTCAGGTGATGGTCTCACGCCTGCCCGCAGGTAAGAGTATTTCTTCCGCGGTCGTCCAGCAGCTGCTCCGGACCAGGTACACCGAAACCTATCCCGAGTCCTATATTGCCAGCAAAGGGTATCTCATCGATAACATAATAGCGAGCCTTCTAAACGCGAAGAAAGAAAATAAAGCGCCAGCAGCCATTGTGCCGGAGTCACCTAAGTTCAATACAAATGATGCAAAGACGACCAATGGCAAGCGCACCGACGAGTCCGAAAATGAAAACGAAATCGACAACGACAGCCACGATGACAGCAGTGAAGACGGTGATAACGAAAGCAATAATAAAGAATGTAATGATTCTGACTACGAAGAGGAAGATGATGACGATAGTGAAAGTGAGAGCGACAGTGAGAGTGAGAGTGAGAGTGAGAGCGAAAGCACGTCAGTGCAGGAGCCCAATCTCACACGTTTACGTTTAGAGGGCAAGGAAGGTTCAAATGACGGCCCCAACAACACCCAAGAGCAGTCTGCGAGCGATAGCGACTTAGCCGTGGCGAAACGCTGCAAAGAGATGTCAAACTGCTTAAAAAAAATTGGATACCTAGTCCGCCAACCACGTGAGGATGAGTCTCTAGACTCCTATTTAAACGGCTATCTTATTAATGAGTTCAAATCAAAAAAATTAGATCCACTAAAGTATAGCAAAAATGATATTAAGATCTACAAAATTCGAAAGGAGGTGGAACTCCTTCAGAAAGATGGTGCTACACTGAATCTGGATAGGCGTTCTCGTGTAGGTAGAGGCTATAGCGGTGTACAATTGATTGGAGAAGCACTCGCTCCTGTGCCTGCGAAGGTGTCCGCCTACGCCATCTCAAACCTACTAGACGACGAATAATGGCTTACTCAAGCGATGAGTAAGAATAGGCGGAAATATAGACATATCGACATGAAATCAGATCAATGTGCCATCATTTCTTTTATAAACTAATAATGATATAAATGGTAGAATTCCTAAAAAGGCATGAGCGTTGTCCTGTTATAGAAGAATATATAATGTACACGCTTCATGTTGTTATTCTTCAATTTTTCGTTTTCATAAAAAAATTAAAGAAACTTTTTCATGCCGAACTTATCAATTAGCTTCTTCCACTCCAATTGAAATGAAGAAAATGTCAATATGCCTTCAAATAGCACAATCATGTGGTTACTTCTCTTTCATCCACAAAACAATATACATGGGTTTCTTAATCTCCATAAAGACTCAATAGCTTTCTTTGATGGCTCATATGTTGCATTGTAACAATATCTAAGCTATAAACCATCATTCAAACCCATAGATCAATTAGAATTGCTTTCCCACGTGCTCAGGGAGCCCATGACGGACCCCACTCCGAATGACACGGGCGGCTACAACGTCGACAATGGTGCCGAGGAGGTCGCTGAGGACCTATTCCCTTTCTTCTCCCAGACGTTGCAAGATGACAGAGAGGGAGGGGAAGAGAAGGAGAGGGAAGGGGGCAGCAGCGATGCCGAAGAGGCAGCCTTGCCCTTCTCTCGCTCCCTGCGGGAGGGGCACCACGTGCAGCAGGCGCGATACACCGTGGTGGGTACGGAGGGGAGGCGACAGGGAAAGAGGCCCACCCCCTCGCGCTCACCCGAGCAGCGTCCGGCGCCCGAAATGCCATGGTGGCAGTGGTGGCCCCACCCGCCGCTGCCACCTCCGACAGCGGCGCCACGGCCGGGGCAAAGCCGCGTATCCTACCATAGTGAGCGCTATGCGACCTTCATCAAGGCCTATGTAGCTCTTTCCGATAACGAGGTCGAAAAGGCGAAGCGTCGTGGACGCAGTATCTGCATGATTGGCGTTCGCAAGTTAGAAAAGGCAAAAATAGGTACTGTGGTGCAGGCTCAGCGGTATTTCATGCGCCATTCTGTACTTGCGGTGGAGGGGGATGCAGTCTTTGCTGAGTTGATGTCTCGCGCAGAGGCTTTGTACACACAAGAGATCCATCATCTTAGGGAGGTATCCGACCCAGAGATGCGTTGCGTGCTGGGGTCCACGAACTGCCTCTCCTCCAGTGTTCAGGTTCCTACGCTGTTCAGCTCCACAAGTGTCTTTCCCTGTATTCGAAATAATAAAAAAGCCTCTCGGAAACAAGCTACCAATTCCAACAGTGGCGGTAATCTCGCAAGCAGGTTGATGTCACCGCACGGCTTATCCACCAACGCTCGCTGCATCGCGCTACACTACGGCCTACCAGCCCACAGGCTCCGTGAAGAGATGGGGGATAATGTAACGTCTTATGATTGCACCGCAGATACGACAACAAACAGCAGCTCGGGCAAACCGCCATACTACCACCGAGCAACACTGATTGCTGTTGTGAGCACCACTCATATTGCGAGCGGAGAAGAGGTCCGTGTTTCCCTGGAATCCTATTATCGGTGTCTAGACGAGTCAGCGTGGTATGGTCGCCACTACACCCCTTTTCACTCCCCTTGCCCAGCCAGCAAGACAGATAACATTGCAGCACTCAATCCGCTCTCAGGAAAGCTTCACAACGGCGTGAAGAACTTCAAACTTTGGCCGAAGTCTCTGGCGTACTACCACGGCGTCGGCCGACACCACGCTGATGACAGCCCGAGGGCGGGCTTCCCATTCACCCTACTGGACCTCGCACCCGCACCGGTGCTGGGCGAGGGAGAGCTGGGCGTCGTGGCAACGGCGTTTATACCTTACGCAACGTGCCTGCTGTACACGGGGCCTGCGGTAGCCACTCAAAAAGTCGAAAAGATAGCCTATGAGACTAAGCCAGGGCTTTTAAAGGTACTTGAAGGTCGCAGTTTTGCTGCCTCGTTAAACAAACCAATGAGTGTTGATTTCGACAAAGTAAAGGAAGAATCGTCTGCTGGCAATGGTGTTTCTCTTCCAGATGTTTCCGTGAGACGAAAAAAAGTCAGTACCACCGTAGCGGCGGAGGAAGACTTATCCTTTGCTACCGACGACACCTACGCCCTGGGTCTGGGTAAGTATGGTGTATGCTTCGGCCAGGGCATCACTAGATATATTAATCACCGCTATAACTTGAGTCGCTTCGGCAACGTCGAGCTATGCTCAGTGATGTTATCTGTTCTCAGCGTCTTTTCGGTCCAGGGTGGCAGTAAAAGTGAGAAACCACGGACTCATCCAAAGTCCAGCCTCCGTGTTAAGGGTGGCAAGTCCACAAGGACCGCGAAGCGTGCCACGATACCAAAAGCGAAAGTGTGGAGTGGTACCTCTCCATCGTGTGCACTCAGCGATGTTGATATCGCTAAGCACCTTTCCTCAACTAGTTGCCAATCGAAAGCTTCTGTAGAATCCCACGCTCATGATGAGAGCACCATAACTTCTTCACGTGGGCATACGGTGGGGGCCCCTTCGAGCGCACCTAAGCCGCCCTCGCCCAAACGACGACAACATACCAAGATGCGCTCTATTTTTCTAGAAGAGCATAGCCACTTTGTCACCTTGCCGTTCTTCATCACAACGACGGATATCGAGGCGGGTACACCACTCTTGGCGTGGACGTATGGCGAAGAGTACGATGCAAAGTTGGAGCGCGTAGCTGTGGCCGACGGTGCGCTGGTGCCCTACGCAGACGCCGCTTTGCTCAACTCTAGGCCCATCATGGGGACTGTGTGGGCCGTGAAGAACAACGGACAGCGCAGCTGGCAGCGCTACGGTGGAGACTACCGCTATGCTCTCGGTACTGGGGATGTAGTGTGGTGTCGCCGTCCTCCTCCCTTACGGGAGCCGGTAATCTATAGTACTCAAGTGCGCTGCCCGCTACCGGAAGATGATCTGTTTGTTGTTGTAGATGTAATGTCCAGGAGCATAGATAATGTACTTTTGATGCCTCTGCGGCGGTGGCATCTGACGGATGAGATGCTTTACGAAATACTCACGTGTCAAAAGCTCGACCGCTATGTTTCTCCAGCTGTATGTACAACTGAAAAAAACAAAGTTCAAGTAAAGGACGAGGTCGTAAAGCCTGATCTTGCTATTAAAAAAGAAAACGACTGTGAAAGAGATGAGGTTAAGGCTATTCTCGGTGCCAAGCTTTACACATTCAGGTCGCGTAGCTTGAGTTGTCCACCTATCGCACGACTGTGCCCATCGCACTCGGTATCTATTGGCGAAACCGATCTCTCCAGTGCCCTCCCACTCCCACCGTTCCCACCACTAGCCCTGCAGGAGTCCTGGGCGGTCTTTGATGCGGATATACCAGATTATAACCGTAACTGCCACTCCATTACAACCTGTGCCTACAACAAACTATACCACTGCTTTATAGCCAACGTGGACAGCCTGGCCCTGCTGCTTAGCGGTATAGACTACTGTGTTGTGCGGCCGGCCGGCAATGTCCCGTCCACTGCGTCGTCTACACCGTTGATGACAGGAACAATATCACGCAATTCAATCTTGGTCAACCTGCACGACCTTCACGATTCGACACGGTTGGTGAGGGAAAGTGCGCGAAGTTGTGTAGTGCCTGTGCTGTGGAATGGGCTCATCTGGCCACTGATTCGCAACTTGCCTCGGTCTAATCATACCTTTTCACACTACTCAAGTTGAGGAGCACCATGCAGCAAGCAAGATTATATATATATATATATATAATTTGAAAAGTAAATAATGACATCAGTTACTGTAACATTAATCTGGGAGACTCCTCAGAGGTAGTTAAGTCGGCATGTCCTTAGTTGTTATTTTTGAATACATTAATGGAAAAAAAAGTAATGCACTTTACATACTCTCATCCCAAGAGTTGTTTCCCTTTCACTAATAAGTCCAGAGAAAAAGGAAAATAAGTGTTCACCAACAACGTAAAGTGCGTTGCGGGGGCAATAAAGTCTACATCTATTTAGAGAAATTGTTTGTAATGGAGCGACCATGGTACTGCCGCCGTATTCACGGTAAGATCAAGCGATCCATTAACATCGATGGCACTGCGCTCTATCGTGTTGAAGAAACGTCTTGTGATTGTCCACTTCCATCTCCGTTTCCACCTCGCCGTTCGCGTGTTGTACCTATTAAGGGAAAGAGTGCAATGGTACTAAACAGACAAATGGATCCAGATGAAAAATGGAACCCCGTCCGCACAATCAAAGATAACGGTGGACTGAGCTACAATGTAGGGTCGCTGCCGTATGCTCCCCCTAGTATCGTGGTGGTAGCTCCTAAGGTAGACCAAGAGAACATTGATCGTAGCATGCACTTTCTACCTAATCAGGAGTCAGCTATTCCCACGATACCCGTTATTGTCTCGCCACTTGTAGTTTCTTCAGTTAGGAACGTCGCCGCCTCTGGCGAAAGGCCGGAGGAAGATGTGATGGCTACCCCCGCCTCACCCCCACCATCATGTTACCATACAACGCATGAGGGTGTGGTGGGGATGGACGGAATATCGCATATCATTCCACCATCGTCTATGGACACACAAGACCAAGCGAATTGTTCCTCTTTTCGCCCCTGCTGCAGTGGACATGTCGATATGAGCCCGCATTGTCCGGCGTGGCCATCCAGCAAAACGGTTCACGACTTAGATGTTGTGAGGACCGTGCTGAATGGCATTCTACACCAGGAGGATGGGCCATGCGAACTGTCGGAGTGTGGGATGTGCGAGAGAACCCCGCACGAGGCAGGCTTCGAGGGGCAAGGGGCCGCTGCCCCATCCACATGCACGGAGGCGGATGATGGTCTTGCGAGATGTGAACTAACAGATGCTGTGCGCAGGCATTGTGGGTGGTGGAGCGGCAATGCTGCGGTTGCAATCATTCATAACCACTATTCCCTCAAGTAGTTTGGTTCTTGGGATAAAGTAGCTTAGATGCTCACGCTTTTAGTAAAATTAGTGATTTCGAATTAGTTTAGATTGAATCATTGTACAATATATATGCTTGTATTCCTGATGTAGACGCTAGTTTTCATTACTTGATGAGGATTATCCTTCATTTATAGCATCTATATCAGTGAACTCAGGATCTGGCAGGAAAAGGTAAGCAAAACCTTTTGTCAAAGTAATATATAATATCAAAAAAAGGCATGAAACTTAAAATTTTGAGGATATGAACTGCTATGTAGTTGGAATAGACCAAAGGTTACTTCAAAAATCGAATCAAACTGAGTTGTATGAATCTTATCATTCGACTTTTCTTCGTAGCCTGAAAAATATTGCTTGATTATGTAAACCAAAATTGAATAACTCTAGGAATAGGAATCTTAAGACTTCAACGTATTGGAAGGAATGTGTTACCAATCCTGTTTACGCAGGAATCCGTGCTCATGGGAGACCGCTTATGACTTTGTTCCTCGCATTCACAAATATCATGGTATAAAGGGCATGGAACGCCAGGGCTGGACCCCTTCTTCCAATGTACCGCCTAGGCTATCTCCTGCACAAAAAAATGGCAGAATTCAAGTAATAAATAGAATTACCGCTGTGAAACACATGGATCAAAATAGAGAGCAAAAGTCACAAACACAGCAACACAGTAACCTTCCTGATGAGTTGCCGTGTACCGCGTGTGATCAGGCTTCATTGCTGTCAAAGGGTCCTACTTCAAGCGCAGAGGAAACACCATCTTCTCACCCTGAGGCATGCCCACCACAGAGACCCCAAGGAGGCTCTGTGTCACCACCCACACGAACCTCACCCACACGGGAACATCCAGTTGAGCCCTCTGAAATCCAAGTCCAAAGTCCAGTGCCGAGCGCCGTGGGAACGATCTTCGAGGTTCAAAAAAAGCCATTAGTACCGAGGCCCCCCTCAAAAACGCCTCTGGAAAACCCATCGCTGAGGGCGACGGGACGGCATGCAGCAAAGGACGTGGTGATGTTGCTACGCCGCATACGAGCTCACCAATCTCTGAGTACAGCCCCTATCACAGGTGGGGAGTCCACAACGAGCGAAAGTAAAGATCTGAAGAAGGTGCCCACCACCACTACAACCCCACAGAGCCAAAACGACTACCTCCCGCGCACTCAGGCGCTTTACTCTTTACCAGCTCATTACAGCCAAAGGTTGCGATGGATACGCACGCACGGAAGGCAGCCGTGGTTTGTTCGTGAAGGCACCTATACTTCTCGCCATTCAGGGCAAGCTGAACTACACACCGTGCGACCACCGCGATCGGAAGGCCGCAGTTTGCAGGATTGGTGCAGTCAGCTCAGTGAGGACGCCCCCTGGTTGATATCCGACCGACTGCATGAAGAACTGATGGCTTTTACTCGCACTGCGAGCACGCCCACAGAGGCCCCTCTGCGGGACTTCAACCGCTCGTTAGTGGGCTTTTACGAGGAAACCTTCGCCGCGCGTCGAGCCTCCCTCCACGAGGTCGAGCGGAGAATGTTCAGGCGGCTGATCGCCGGCATCGTGCCAGTTGCTGGGACTTTCCGTGGCAGCAGCATGGCGGAGGGAAAAGAGAAGTGGAAGAAGAATAAAGCTAAAACGGAGGAGGAAGAGAAAGAGGAGGAGGACTCGGACGGTCTCGCGGTTACAGGCGTCCTTGATGATGGCCACCTCGACAGCGCGATTCTGTGGTGCGGCGGGCGGCTGCTGCGGAGCCACACCACGGCATCGGGCCCTGATGACGACAGCGATAAAACGAAAGGGGAAGAGAAGGGCAGAGGAGTGTGGGGAGAATCCCCTGCGGGGGTCGCACTTTTAGTCAAGCCTTTTGCACAAGAAGTCTGCTCACTCAGCGCCACGACGGTTGGTGGGGTACACAACGTGGGGATCGATGACGACAGGTGGAGATGGCGCACTTTGCCAAGGGGTCGAGAATGGGATCGCCAACGCGCGATTCGAAACGCAGCCGGTGCCACAGCGCAGGAGGCTATTATCGATCTGAAAATTGACCCACGGTACCGTCGTCCAGGGGAGTACGTACGTTGGAGGTACAACAAGACTAATAGGAGCATGGAGGTGGTTCCGTGAGACTCACAGAAGGAAATGATGGTTGGAAGAAAAGTCAACTTCTTTGTTGGAAGGGATTCTATATGAATTTCAATCCCATCCGTTAGTCTGCTTACATGAGATAAAAAAATGTATTGATATTAAAAATCCTATTTTTGTACAGTTACATCTTAGAAATAACACATATAATTGTGTTTGTCATCCGTTGTAGTTCTATTAAGAGTAGTAGAAGGAAATCATAAAGGAAAGTGTAGTGACACGCAAAAATGATCTGTATTTGATGTTAATTAAAACAATTATGTAATACGGTATTTTGATATATTGATTACTATGATATCTTTTTTACGGGTGGTGTTATTTCATTCCCGCCCCTCTTCTGCACCATCTTTACTGTAAGTTTACTTAATATAATTATTTTCCGAAAATAAAAATAAAAAACATATCATTCTAAGATTTACATATGGATAACACACACCCTACAGAGCCAATTAAGGTATTCTTCATCCTTGGTGAACCTGGTTCAGGAAAGTCATTGAGCTGTGCTCACCTTGTAAAAACATTTGGCTATACGCATTACAGTGCTGGTGATTTCCTTCGCCATGCCTCAAAGTCTGATAGAGTAAGATTGCAACGATAATTCGAAATTGCATAAACACTGGCAATATTGTGCCGGATAAAATAACATTGGACTTAATTCACAATGCTATAAAGAGCAACCCCAACCCCAATGGTTATCTTATTGACGGCTTTCCAAGAACATTAGCTCAAGGACAGATGTTTGAGGAAAGCATTGTACCTGCTACCGGGGTAATTTACTTGGATTGCCGTGATGAAACTATGGCAAAACGACTTCAGGGTCGAGCTCAAAGTCAAGGCGGTGAAAAACGTGAGGATGATGTATTGGAGGTTATCCAAACCCGTTTTCGTGTTCACCATGCTCAGTGTGAGCCTGTCGTAGATGCATACAAGGCTCGAGGACGTTGTCATGTGATCGATGCAAACCAAGATACTGATACTGTTTGTAAAAATCTAGTGGATCTGTTATTGTCTATGAATGAGAAGATCAATGTTTAAGCAAGACAATAATACGATAAAATATGATTTATGGTTATAAACCAGTATAAGCAAATATATATACAAAAAAAAGGAGTATGTAATTTAATTATATACA